TGGGGAGAATCTTTGGGTGTGTGGGTGGGGAGAACCTTAGTTCAATAACAAATATTGTCCAAACTTAGAGAACAACTTTATATTTTTGCATGTAAAAACCTGTTAATTAACATGTAAAAGTCACACCACCTTTTCACGTTCCACCTTTGTACAATTACACAAAACTAACCAAAGTGAAGCCACATTAATGCAGGGATGCATTCAGGAACTGTGCACATCTTGTAACTTCTTTTCACTAAACTTTGCCAGAGTGGTAGAAGATTAAAATGAGATTTTCAAAACATGAAAAAACCAATGAAAAGTGGCAACATTCATAAAAAAGCTGTTCTTTTTCAAGTCATATTCTATATCTTGTCAATGAAAAAAACAAACAAAAAAAAGATTAAGTGGAAACTAAACAGAAACAGATTAAACAGAATTTGGACATAAGATCTGTACTTGTACTTGTACAGATTTTTCTAAAAGGTTACAAAGGCACGAATCATTGCTATTTTTGTTGGGGAACTAAACATTGACCATACAGTACTTAATTCTCTGTGTACAAGCATAACGACCTTACATAACGGTCTTACATAATACAACAGCAACTGAGGAACATTAAATTAAACTTCCATGTTACTTTAAAAAATCTGTCAGGATTTCTTATAAATTCAGGGTAAATAGGGAGGGAAGCTTAAAATCTCAGATATTCCTGAAAGCACCCTAAAACATATCTGGATCTCCTGAAGCTAAGATGGGAAGAAAAATCTCTAGATAGTAACACACAAATCCATCTGCATTGCTTAGTATTCTACAAAAACTGCCGCATATATTACATGTAGCTTAATATACATGCATCTTCTCTGGCATTCAAGGTCACCTTACTTGGTCTTTTGGTCTCTTTTATAGTGAATTTTTTTCCGGGTTTATCGTAAAATAAGTGAACATAAAAAAAGAAAGAATCCTTAACTTTGATGTAAGGTCCTCTAAAAATGTTTCAAGAGAAAAAGGCTACACTCTCTCAGTTGCAGGTTCCTTTGAGGTTCTTTTCTTATTAAAAGGAATCAAGGTCTACAAAAGTTTTTTATTTATTGGTTAATTGATTTATGTGTTAACATTTTTTAATTGTAGCTCAGCCAGACACAAACAGCTCTACCTACTAGGGGGGCACTCTAAAAAAGCAAAATACTATCTGAAAAGAATTAAGCCTTTGCAACATAACAAAAATTGTCTAAAAATGCCGCTTGCATCAGGATTGTGTTCAGACACAAGAATATTTTGGCATCATTCACACAGGCAGTCTGTTAGCATTAGCCTTAACACACATTGTTATTTATCCCTTGCTGAACAGCTGCATTTTTGCAGCAAATTTCTACAATACAGTGGTTAAGAGCCAGAGCTGGACCAAAAGAGGGCGCAATTTTCCTAGCAATGGAGGCTCCTTTGGTCAGAATTGCACTTTGCTGGTTCACAAATGACTATGAAATGCATGCATTACAGTCAAGTCACTGCCAGCAAAATGAACACTTCTGACCAATATGGTTCTTTTCAACTGGAGAAGGGGGTTCCCTGTTCAAGGTGAATAGTCCTGAGAAATGTGCTCCACTCTCAAGAGTAAATTTCAGTTTCACTCCCACCCTAGTTGTCCCCCATCATTGTATCTGATGAAGTAGTTGTTGCTACGAAAACTTACGCAGCATCTTATGTTAAGCTAGTCTATAAAGTGCTACCCCACATCTTCCTCTGATCATATGTACAGACTAACAGGGCTTTCCTCATTTTGGTTGAATAAAAGAAAATCTCACCCCCAATAAAATAATTTCTAAATGTCCATTTTTTCCTAGTTCCCCTCCCCCAATAAATGGATTTACAGCCAACCTCAATCATATCTGTGTATCAGTTATCTGGATGTGCATACTGGTTTTTAATTTCTGAGAAGAAAATAGTGATTATCACTCTGTTTGATCCGCTGACAAGAATCACGAGCCATTACTGTGGTGTCCTTACATGCGTGTTCAAATGACATATGCATTGAAATGCTTCCTCAGCCAATGGGAGTGCACTGCTAACCACATCTCGCATGCGTCAAGTTTAGGAATGTGAGCGTGAGTGACGGGGACACCGCTGTGTAATGGAGTCAGCAAATCGGTACACAGGAAAAGCAAGGTCGATGGTCACTAGAGCTATATCCACAAATCAAGTGAGTACTGGTGACTGGGTTTAGATTCTATCTGCCAACAATCTGGTACCCTGCTTTTTCTGCAACTCACAGAGCAATGAGGAGCACTTGAGTGTCTTAGGGCACTAGTCCACACAAAGCCAGTCAACTCCTGGAAAATTTAGGTGAAAAAAGGGAAAATGTATGGGTTCTCTGTGTTTTTTCTTTTTTTGAAATTTGCTGTGCTTCCAATTTTGAACATTTCTCCTTACAGTTACCTGGACATTGTGGCAAAATTAATTTGGTATAAATATCATGTGACATTTGATCAAAATCTGTGCCTTCCGTGGAATATTCTCAGGTATAAGAAGTCAAAATCTGAGCAATGAACACTCACCTACACATTCATTTGGTGAAGTTGATCTCGTTATGAAGTTTAGTACTCCTAGTTTCAATTTACTTCCTTCATTTTTTTTTTTTGGCATGCTGAATTTGTTATTTATCACTGAAGCATTACATAAGATCCCTGACAACAAATCATGTCATCAAGGGCAACTGATGCAGCCTATCATACTACCGGACTAGTTTGTGATCCTTTTGCTGTGAAAATGGTCTTAATGGCATAATGTACCCGATCCAGTGGGTCGTTAGAACTTGCTTTATCACTGCATTCCCTGAACAGATACCTATATTTGCAACAGTTACAACAGACTGTATCCTGATGCATGTCTAGTGACTGACCTGAGATGACTGGACATGGCTGCTTACTTGTTGGCCTGGCCATTGGGCTCATCAGATTCATCTACGGACTTGGTCTTCTTCAATGCAGCCTGCAATGCAAAAGCATACAAACCAATTGACCAATGATAAACAGATAGTTTGCATGTTGGTGAGCAAAGCCCACTATTGCAAGAAAATAAATGCAAGGAAGTTCAGGAAATAAAGAACTGTAAGACGGAAGGAACCATGAATTATCATGAACTTGAAAGAGAACCTGCATAAAACCAAACTGCTGCAAACTGCTTGTGGACGACAGAGACCTAAAATAAAGATCACAAAAGGAGGGCCTGATGTTTTGATCGAAGTAGAATCTTTCTCAAAGGCAAAAATCCTTTGAGAAAGCTTCTTCTTGAATCGAAATGTCAGGCCCTCCTTCTTTTGTAACTTGAAAGAGCTCAGCAACAGCTGAACAGTCACTCTCAGTGTGCGTAACAAGGTGTCATGAGAAAGGAAACCAGGATTTCATGGTGAATTGCTAGGCAACAAATTTATAAATTTGAGAGGCTGTATTCTAATTGATACCAGAAGATGTTTGGGTCATGCATGAGGGACAAGAGGCACAGGAAGTCAGTTATGCCAAAAATGGCTTTAGTTCTGAAAGTGATTGGTGGTAATGTTTGATTCTTTCAAGAGCCATACACAATAACACAAAACAGGGAAAGAGTTCCACACATGGACACTACTTGAAACCCTGTGTACAAACCCTATGAGACGGCTCTCAAAAATGGTATTTTCTAAATAAATGCTCCAATATTTGTCCTACTGAATTTGACATTTTGGGACATGCTATTGCTTTCTGATGGCTGATATGTCACTGCAGGAAAATAAAATTAGTGATGATCGTATATGGAATGTTTACCCATAATTGCTTTTCTCGTACTGGTTAAAAGTTGAGAATTCAATCCTAGCCACGAGACACCAAGCCACAGATAAACAAAGTCAGCATCATTCACTATTAAAGTTTTGAACATTAGATTTACGGCCGCAACATCAAGATTTCATGTGCTAAGGTCTTCAATGGTCTCCCAATATCTCCCTGACTGTGCATGATCTACCGCCTACCTTGACTGCTTGAAAATGGCTCTTGCCCTTGCAGTGAACGCGGCTGGCTTTATCCGATGTCAGGAACTTGTGACAAAGTTTGCAGAAAAAGCCAGAGACTGGTACTAGATACTCCTCACCTGCTCAGGGGTTCAGGGGTCAAATCAAGGTTAAGGGTTAATGTCCAACAGCAAATCTGTACATTTCCTGGTTTGGGAACTCTACATGTACTCTAGGAATATTTGACAAGATCCAATTTCACAGTACTACTCACTACACCAATTTGTGCTTACACAGATTCGTGCATTAGGAATGTTAGCGAAAGTCTGCGCAATACGCAAAGCAAGAAAACTCCCGTTTTCTAATAGCTGACATTATAAAAAACATGTACATGTATGTGACCTGTTCTGTAAAAAAGAGTCACTACTCGCTAGAGCTACTTTTGAGTACCAGGCTTTTGCAGTTGGAACCCTCAACATTTTCACCCACAACAATATTTTGATCAGGATATCAACATGAGTTATACGTCAAACCAAAGAGCTTTACTTGCTCTTTCCATTATGTAAACTGGAAAAAGATTACTCAGTAAATGGCCTAATGACTCATTTCTACAGAACGGGTCACATTTGTGAAAATAACTAATGTCTAAGTTTAAGAGAGTCTGCTAAAAGTCTTCATTTTCTGGGTGGGGCATTGGTGGGTCTTGTCATGGTTTCAAATACAAAGCTCTATATTTTCTTGTCTCAAACTCTTCTAGCCCCCTTTGAGCTTACATCTGAGCAACACAATGAAATCAGACCCTGCTACGGACCATCAACGAAATGGAATATACATTAGTAGCTACCCAAATATACCTTGCAGTTCATGAATACTTAAAAATCGTCAGTTCAAGATATTGTATATACATGTACATTGTAAGTCCACATCTATATACATGTATCCATACCAAGCCAAGAGCGGTTTTCTATTACTTCAAATCAAAGAAGAAAAAACAAAACCTGTTGTATCTCACCAGATTTACGTATGTACAGGAAGTAAGAAAGAGTCAAGAGACAGACAGAGAGGAATGAAGGATTCCAGGTTACAAGTTGAGTATAGTTCTTTGCCTACTCTTTTAGGAATACAAGTGCTTCTACGCACATCTTGCACACAGTTGGGGCTTAGGATTCACCAGTAATAGGTACATTAAGAAACTCACAATACATACAGGTGACCATGTATTCCAAACAGTAAAACTGTAGAAATGTGACGTAAGGAGCCGGGGGGAATAAAACATACACAATGTATGCCACTGCTATATGAGAATAAGCATGACATTTAGCATTTGGGTTGCACAAGTGATAAGCACTTAGTTGAGTGTGGCCTCCAATCCCTTTGACTGTAGGCTACATTTATTTGCGGCAACTGTGCCATGAACAGTTTTCTCGTTTCACTGTAATGAGAAGCAGTATTCATAACAAAAACTGTGAATAAGTAAAAGAAAATGTATCCACATCTTGAGAAATTACTGTTAATTGACAAAAAGCAAAATATAATGTTGTGACCTGAGAAAAAAGAAAGAAAGAAAAACAGTGGTTTGGATTGGACCCAGTTTGTGCACATCTTTTGACCTACACATCTCCTACAATATGTTGATGTGTACTGCACTGCATGGAGCTCGTGTGTACATATTGGGCATGCCAAGAATGTACAAACTACATGTACCATGGAGTAATTAATGACTGTAACCTCATGGACTGGCTTAAGATTCTATCATCAATATACTGAAAGATTTAATGAACCACGTAAAAGTGAGTGGCCATGACTTGAATGAAGCACAAAATCCATCTCAGGATCTCTTTTTTCATTCATTTGTGTGTTGAAATGGTATTAATGGCATTAACCATTGATGAGAAAAATATGCCTTGAACTACACTGTACTACAACTAAAGCGCCAAACAAGTAATGGCAGACCTTAACGACTGCAGTGAGGTACATGAAGTGTAACCATGGAGCTGTGAAACAGGTGCCCTCAAGGTAACCACAACCAGACTTCATTCAATCAACATAATGCGATATCAACTCATCAACATAATTGGCAACGTGACATTGTTAACATAGCCTCAAGTGGAAATAAAAGTTTTTTCTCATTCTGCAATTGCTTATTATATAACCAGGAAAAAACACTAAAATACTTGCCTTTTCCCACTCAGTTAACAAAAATTGACCACCGCTACAAATGAAGGCATACATGTAAATATGTGAGCAGAAAGTGTCTGTGTGACTTGATTTATCTAATTCCTAATATGAACATATTGTTCGCGTACTGCCAAATCAAAATGAAATCTTGTGTAGAAAACCAAGAAACAGTGTCATAAAGGTGTGTGTCTGTACAAATGACTACAGTTCATATATCTTAGAGAACAGGAAATGGAGAATGAATGAATCCCTGACCACATAATGTGTAGAAAAGTCTGAAATAGACACAACAGACACAAAGCAATACACAGTCAGACACAAAGCAATAC